CAGGCTGCTAACTGGCAGCGGACGCAACGGCAGTAACTCGGTCAGCGGCGGATGATGTTCCGGCAGCACCAGATGCTGAAAGGATAGCGGGACGCAGGTAGTACTGCCCAGCCAGCTGTCGCTGGTAACGCGTATGTAGTACTGTGGTGGCAGTGGCTCCTTCAATGGAATGGTCATCACGAGCTGCTGTGACTGACCGTTAAAAACGCATTTGCGATTCAGTTGAAACAGCTCCGAATGGTAAATGTAGTTGGACTCCGGGTCCTCAATCCACAGCCAAAATGCCTGACTCGTCTTTCCATGTACCCGATCGTTCCAGGTGAAATCCGGCCAGATCGTTATAGAGATACGCAACACAGTGCGTGTGATTGGCTGCAAAGTGGCCTCCACCTCCAGCAGCGGCAGTTCTCGGGCCGATCGTATGACTAGTTCTGCATAACGATCGCTACGCAGCCATTCTTTCAGTTCACGCTGCTCCATGTCTCTGAGTCGATAAACGCTGAGACCACGACGCTCGAGTTTGTCAATGGTCTCCGCATTGATTGCCGGAAATTGTCTTAAATGGCTATCAAAGTCCCATTGTCTGCGCTCAAACATCTTGCAAAGCTGCAGCATGCGACCCGTTAAAGTAGCATTGTTTTGCCTCAACACAATGGAAAACAGGGCACGCGCGATTCTGCCAACATTTTGGGTTATATACGACATGTCGGAGCTCAAGGAGAAGGACTTGACATAACCATTGGACAGATATGTTTGTATTAAAATGTTCACCTGGAAGGAGAGTGAATAAGGTAAATCATTGTGGTACTGGCACAAAGACCGATGTATCTATACCTTGCCGCAAACATTCTCGCTACCTCCAAATGCTTTCAGTTTGCAATAGTACTCGCGCAGCTCATCTAGCTCTTCGAGCTCGTCGTCACGCACTTTGAGCTGTTGAAACTCCTGCGCCTGTGACATCATGGCTAGCAGCTCGGATTCGTTCATGTACGGCTTCATCAGTTCATTGAACGTTTCCACCGTATCGTATTTTATGTAGAAATGCGAGGCAGTGCGACCCAAGTCGGTTATATTCATGTCCATGGTGCGCTGATTAAAGCGCATCATCTTCGCCTTATCCAAGCTCATCGATGCAGACATAATTAGTGCTCGTCGGCGCGCCTCTAGCGTTGGATCCTTTTGCAGCTCAGAGTATTCAATGCCATAAACATGTGGATTAATACGCATGCGCACAAAGAGGTATCTATGGGAGATTTATAAACATATATATTAATTGGATAATACTAGCATATTACTAAGAGCTACTCACGTATAGCTTAGCCACTCGATGGCCTCCTCCACATTAGAAATGGTGCCCAGTCCAATTTCAGCGTTCAGATTATCAGCCAAGCACTGCACAAAGTTGGACTCGATAGGGAATTGATTGGTCAACAGAGAGAGATAATGATTGAGCTTGTCGTAAGTGGTGATAATAGTGCCCACACCGCTTTTATCGAACTGTGGCCGGCCAGCGCGTCCAAAGATCTGTAAAACATCCAGTATGCCCAGATCCACAAAGCTGCCATGTTTCGCATCGTAAATATCCGTGCCGCGTATAATGACCGCATGGGCAGGCAGATTGACACCCCAGGCGAGCGTGGCAGTGCAGACCAGCACTGAGATGTGACCCTCTATAAAGTATTTCTCCACCATTTGGCGATCGGCACGGAGCATACCAGCATGATGCATGGCCAGGCCACAGGAAAACAGTTCCACAAGCTGTTTATTTCTGCTCTTCTGTATGGAGCGGCAGGCCAGGCCATGTGCATTGTTGTCCTTTGGTAAAAACAGCGCGCTGGTGTTGTTCTGCTGAGCCAGCTCGCGCAGCACATTTGCCGTGCGAACGGTGGCATTACGTGCATGCACAAAAACCATGACCTGATGCCCCTGTTGAACCATCTCCACGCATTTCTGGTAACAACACTGATCCATGTCAGCGATTTGTTGGAGTGGCTTTACCGATTTGATGCCAACAAAGTTAGTGTCCAGGGGCACGGGCCGGAAACGCGAATCAAAGTAGAACAGACCCTTCATGGGATTCACGCGCAGAAAGTGGGCAACATCTATGTAGTTGGGCAGTGTCGCGGACAAACCAACGATGCGTATCATGGACTGCGATGACTCTACCAAGCGTAGTGTGCGCGCGACCAATGCCTCCACCACGGGACCACGCTCACCATGCAGCAGATGCACCTCGTCAATAATGAGAAGTTGGACAAGACTGATTAGGGCCACATCACCACTTCCTGCAATGGGTTTATAAATCTAAGATTATCCTGTTGGTTTCTTTTCTTATTAACTTGCTTACCCTTTCTGGTGACAACATCCCATTTCTCTGGCGTGGTAACCAAAATTTGGGTGGCGGCCATTTCCGCCTTGGTCAACTGCATGTCGCCGGTCAATTCCCGCACGATAATCTGCAGCGATTTCAGGCGCTTTGAAAAGTTCGCGACCATTTCGGCGGCCAGCGCCTTCATAGGCGCAATGTAAACAATTTTAAACTGATCTCGATTGATGACGCCCTCCTCCAAATGACAGCGAATGGTGTGCACAATGGCCAACATGGCGACGTTGGTTTTTCCTGCGCCAGTGGGCGCACACACCAGCATATTCTCGTTGCTGTGATAGGCGACAGGATACACTACCGATTGTATGCGATTTAACTCCTGGCAGTTGGCAAATGCCAATTGACCAACGTCATCCAGTTCGGCGATTTTAATACGCTGATTGCCCACTGTAAGAGGCGGCGGCTCGCTGGCTGGGATTTTCACCTCCTCCCACTGCTTATTGTCTATGCGTTGCGCATTTTCGGGTAACGTGATGCGGCTGCCGCCTATGAAGCCGGCATGCTGTTTGGCCTCCAGTTGGCTATCAAAGACGTATGGATAGCGTATGGGCGTGGTGTAGTTTGAGTGCTCGGCTTTAACCGCTTTTGTGCTGAGCAGCAGCGGTTCTCGTTGTGCTGCCTCCAGCAGTTTGCGCTGATGCTGCATTCGCAGCTGCTGCGCGGATATGGCAACGGCGCCGCCCGCTTCCTCGGCACCCTCGTCATCGTCCTTGATGCTGCGCATAATGCGCTGGAGTTTCTTTTCCTCGCGACGCTGCTGCTTACCCAGCTGCTTTTCCTGTGCCGATTGCACGACAACTGCGCTAGCTACCGTGGGACGCTTTTCTGAGCTGGCAGTAGGCTGCTGCCGCTTTTGCTTCACCTGTTTGATGCGGCGAGATCTCGTTGCATAGTGCTCCAACTGCTGTGCAATCTTGGAGCGCTCCTGTAGCAGTTGTCCAACTAGTTCGAAGTGCTCAAAGCCCAGCAGTTCCATTAGCTCGTTCTGCAACTCCTCACTGCTGCGCTTGGAGCTAAGCATATCGCCCACGCGATTTAACAATAGCTCATCTTCAATTTTCTGGGCTATGTTCAGCAGTGTCTCTAGCTCCGGGCTTAACTTAAAGCCATCCGTGACCTGCTTTGCAGCAGGTACTGCTGCACCGCCGGTCTTGTATTTCATGGTGAATTTATTGACGACTTTATTTTTGAGCAGTGCATCGGGCGACAGGTTCGTCAGCAAGCTAACATCCAGCCACTCCGCCTGCGTGCAGCTCACGTGCACATGTTCGCCCCAAAGTGGACGATCTTCCGACGTCTTGTGCTGTGATTGCCGCCAGCGCTTTAAGGCAAGCAACTCATCCTCCTGCAGTGCATCGGCCACGGCCAGCACACAGTTGTGTATTTGCGTTTGTTTCCGGTCAAAAGTGTATCCAAACATTGCATGCAGTCGGTTAGTCGTGGCCACCAGCAGCACGCGCTGATCAAGCAGCGACCAGAATAGATACAGTGTCGCATGTTCCACCACTTTTGGCTGCTCCTCATAACCCATGCATTCCTGGACCAGATTGCGCAGCTTCTGCAGCTGAACCTTTGCCGCCGGCTGTTTATCCGCCGGCAATTGAGCCAACAATTTTGCTATCGTCTGTTCCGCGTTTCTTTAAAAAAAATCATATTATTACATTGTGTGTTCGTGTAATTGGAATTTTATCAGTTGTGAAATAGCAGCGGCTTACTCTTTGCAATTTGTCGGCGTGGATGCTAATATTTTCGCTCTGACATGTCTCAGTCCGTTGAAGCGGGGCGTTCTGGATTCAAGTTCCGTTTTGGCTCGCAGCGATGCACTCAGTCGAGGAGGCTCCCACATGGTTACCTAGTTTCTTATTTTATCTAAGAAATTGAAATTTTCTGCTAAAATTGGGTTCGACGCTGTCGCAGCTGTTGTAGCACAGCTGTTGCTTCTACGCTTTGGCGTTGCCACCTAGGCAAATGAATATAAGTATATCGTATAGGTATATCGTATATCGTAAGAACAAAAATTTGAAGAGGGAAATTTAAATGCAAGCTCATATTTTAATAAAAAACGTTTATAATTATATAAAATATTTTAAAAATTTGCATTTGTGCAACGTGCAAAATAAATCGATATAGGTTCTACCTTAACTATTTATACGAGATTTTCATGTAGCCATTGATTTCTAATGTCATTTACATGCATAAGCTGTCCCTCGGCAGGTCCATTCAAAACTTTTATTATCTCTTACAAAATGTTTTGATTGCGGTAAGCGCACACACCGATGCACACGCCCACACTCACATAGCCACCTTCAAAAGTATGCTACATAAACTTGTTGCGCAAGTTGCAATTGTGCGTTTGGGGGTGTCTGTGTAAGCAAAATTTATTATGCATCACATGTCCAGACACTTGGATGTATCTCTTTGGTTACTGTCCTGCAACATGCTTGAATGACCTCTTTGAATTTAACTGCTACGCTCAACCGTTGTGGTTATAAGTGTGTGTGTGTGTGTGTGTGTGTACGTTTTGGATCTGTGGAGCTGTATAAAAACAGATTCACCGAGAGCTCCGCCCTTTTAGTTGCTGCTGCTGTATGACTCGAGTGAGGCCATCACAAGACTTCCTATGAGTTTCATAACTTGGTGAGCTACACTTTCATTTCAAGATTCAGACGAGTTGCGACGAAATGCATTTCCAGATCATATTGCTAAGTGAGTATTTGCCCTGGTCTATATTGATTTTATAATGACTTACTCTTGCAGGCATTTGCTTTATGTATTTTGCTTGCTCCAATGCCATCCAATGCGATTCCTGTGGCAAGGAGTGTGCCAACGCCTGCGGAACAAAAAACTTTCGGTAAGTGCCCGCAATTGCAGGCTTCAATCGCCGTCTGATGCATTTTTATCGTTTCACAGTACCTGTTGCTTTAACTACCTACGCAAACGCTCCGATCCCGATGCACTGCGTCTTAGCTCTAATAAACGGCTTATAGACTTTATATTGTTGCAAGGACGCGCGCTCTTCACGCAGGAGCTGCGCGAGCGCCGCAATAATGGCACCCTAATCGACCTGGACATGGGCAACTACTATGCCTAAAACACATCCTCTGATCTATCCAAGCGCTACCGGCACAGACAATGACAACGATGCGAATGTTTGAAGTGTTAATTTTTTAATAAAAGGCGTAAAACTCTTTGGGGCAAAGTGCTTAGAAAAGCATTTGATACATTTAGTCTAAATCATTTGGCAATTCCAGAAAATGTTTATTTTGTTTGATTTTGTATCAATTGCCGTTTAATTTCTTAAATTGTGTTTTCATTTTTTTTTTTACATTTTTAAATGCCAACTTTTTTTTTTAGATTTTTGTGTTTGTATGCAAAGGTAGGCTTGGTACATATACCAATTGGAACAAATCCATACAGGCTGTAGTTAAAGCATTGTAAAGCTGTCAGTTCCTGTGTCTAAAAATCACATGTCGTCATATTATCTGTTAGGCTCGTCGTCTGCTGCAGTCGTCGTTACTTTGTCTAAGCTTGAGATTCGCTAATCTCTGTGGTGGCTTGGGTCCTAGAGTCTGAGGGAAGCTCGTCTTTGCCGCAAGCGAGGCAAGGCATCTTCTCCTTGAGCACCTGCTTGTATTTGGGGTGACTAACAAGCGAGATAACATACAAATTTGATGTGTTTATTATGGTGTCAGTTGAATACCTTACCTTAGGCCATAAACAATTGGATTGCAAACGGCATTTGCTTTGGCGAAAACCGAGCCACAAATTGTGGCAAGTGGCGATAGATGCATTGATTCAAAGATGCCCGCATAGTTGATGATTGTGTAGGGCGTCCAAGCGAAGAACCAAAGCGAAATTGTGGTCAGTGCTACCTTGGCCAGTTTGATTTCGATGGCCTTGCTCTTCTCTGCCTCGGTGTTGCGCAGAGAGGCCACATTCATCTTCTTGGCCTGCTCACGCATTGCCTTCTCGTGGGCGGCCACTGCCTGGGAATCGGGATTAATAAGTAGCTTTCCAATGGCAATGTATAGAATTAAGTTATAGCCTCTTACTTTTAGTATATGATAGTATGAGAATATGATTGTCAGCAGCGGAGTGAGATAGACCCACATGGAGTAGACAATAATATAGGAGCGATTCCACCAATCTTTGGCAAAGTAATCTGTACCGCAGGCCGTCATATTGCCCTCGGGCACATATCGATTCCAGCCGAACAGCGGAATAAGAGCCCATGTGCCACAGATTGTCCAAACAACCAGAAGACGAAGCACAGCCGACGTTACCGTCAGAGGCTTACGTGCCATGCCCTTGACAATGACGCAGTAACGATCGTAGGCAATCAGTGTCATGGACCAGATGGATACACAGCCAAAGAGGGAACCGAAGAGGCCGTAAAGCTCGCACAAAAACGGACCCATGATCCAGGTGCCATAGAAACCATTTAGGACGACGGGTGGAAACATGGTGAACATCATCATGAAATCGGAGAAGGCCAAATTAACCACAAACATGTTGGATGGTGTTCGCAGCGACTTGGACGACGTAAACACGTACATCACAATAAAGTTGCCCGTCAGTGACATCACTCTTTGGTTTGGACGATTGAAATCAATTAAAATGTTCAACTAATGCTAAAGAAATTTGTATATTACCCCAGCACGGCAATGACAAAACCTATAATGCCGAACCACATGGGCTCCATTGGCGGCCACTGGTACCAATACGGGTCCACCATGTGCATGATTTCGGCGGGAACGCTCTCCGCCAGGCTAAGATTTCCGCCATTGCGCAGATGCCCATAAGTTGGATGGTTCAGACTTATCATGACTAAGCCGTGTTGAGTATACACTCCGTCTATGACTAAGGAGTTGAGATATTTTCGGTGGTCGAGCTTCGTTTGTACTTAAGCTGGCTAGGATAGCTTCTCCGCACAACTGTCCATAGCAGATAAAAATAATTTTAAAATTTCTCTTGGCGCCGAACTGGACGCGACTGCCCTGGGCCGGATAGTTGGGCTGCCTTTATATGCGAGGGCCCTTAGAAAACACTTGAGTCTAGCCAGTCTTAGACTAATTGCCAGCTAATCCAATTATCCGGCACACACTTGGCCAATCCAAAGTAGCTAAATTTGAAATTTGTTTCCCAATTGCTGCAAATTTGCTGCGTCGGATTAGTGTTAACAGCAACAAACGCGTCATTCATCCAAGTCATGGTCAAGTTTAAGGCAACCACCCCCGCCACGAAGCCAATTTGATTAGGACAAATGCTTTGTCGCTTGTCGCTTCGCTGAAAGCAGCGTCGTCAAATTAACGTTTTATTCACATGGATATATATCGGATATTGGTTATATATCCGATCCGAATTCAGGCGTGCCAATTGTAGCCCAGCTTGCGCGCTCCTCTCATTACTGTATTCAGCTGGAACTCCAGGGTGCCATATGATTCCATGGATAGACCTGAAGCGAACATATAGGAACTTTACTAAGGAGCAGGAAGAACTTTACATACTTCTATGATATTGTAACTTACCCTTGCATTGTGTGTTGTCCAGCAGTATTTTGGGATCCTTTAGCTCCGGCTGGCGCCGCAACAACCAACTGGTTATATCGGCTATCATATTCGGGCATTTGGGCATTAGGATAGGTGTTTCACTTAAGCTGGACGTCGGTTCATCCTGGCGGCGGCTTCCGAAGACGGGCGTATGTACGCGTGCATAGCCCAACAAACTCTCGCTTCCGAGTCCATTCTGTCCGTACACGCTGACTATAATTTGTGGCCCTGCAAAGAGTTTATTGTAAGAGCAAGTAAGTCAAGCCGAGCACCCATGTACTTACAGCCAAAGGGACTGGTGCTTTTGTACGAGACTTCGATGGGCATATTGAAGACGATTTTGTCGTTAAAGTGGCCACTCTTGATGGTTGCCATCTGTGTGATGCCGTGTTGCGGGCCAGATGCCAATTGCCAGTCTGGGCCTGCTACCAGCTCATAGCGACAGAATATGTAATCCTTGTCAGGACCCAGTGGAAATGTGGCCGAAACTATTTGACCCGTGATGCATAGAGTAAAATAGCTGGCCGGGGCTCTGACACCTGGATCATTCACTTTTTGAACACTTGGCGTTCTCCTGGTTTTCCTTTGTTTTTGTTTGGGCGACTCTTTGTTACCATTCTCGTTGTCCTGGTAACCCGTTTCCTCGCCCTCGTACATTTTAGCGACTGTTCTGATGGTGCGTTCTGTTTAAACTGGCTTTCATTCACTTGTGAGTTACCCTAGGTGGTTGTTCACGTGTCATTGAGTAGTGTTGGAAAAGGCATTATACTGAAGTTATATGTCTTGAACAACGCTATGTTTTCGGCTACCTCATATATATTCATAATATCCCAAGGGCTGAACACAAAACGTTGCATACTTTTCTCGTCACAAATACTCGCAATGTCTCGCATGATGCGACTATTCGCATATTTATATATTTAAAGTATTATTCAAAACGTGATTTACCACTTGCTTTTCACTTTTTTTGATTAATTTTGTATTGTTTAATATATTAATATTAATATTAATATTGTATGTAAGGTTAAGTTTACTCGGTAGACCAATTCGATTAGAGTTGTTTAATTGACATCTAAAATTTTCATAGTTTTTGGAAACAATCTTTAATGGTCATTACTCCATAACTAAACGTCCAATCGCAATGTGGGCTGAAACTTGTGATAATTTTCATTTTTCTAACTAAAATGCATTCAAAATCATCAATATTCCTTTGATTCTAATAATAGAGCAATGCAATTGTCTGGCACTTGCTAAATAGGAATCTAATTTCAAAAATGTTTTTAAAAATCTGCCAATTCCTGTGATCATAGTTGATTGAGTTGCTGTTGCCAACCAATGTTACAGAATATATATATATATAAATATACATATATATATATACATAACTCAACTGTAACTGATTCTCAACTTACAATTGTGCGCTTCAATTGAAAAATTGTGTTTGTTTTGTTCAATGAATCGACATGCATATAAAATGTAAGCTCTAAGCCCCGATATAAGAAGTGCAATGTTGTATTTCTTATTAGTTTCTTGGTTCATTGATTCCGAAAACGAAATTGAATGCACATATATGTATGTATATAAACATATATTTATACATATATATATTTTTTTTATCAAATTTATGAATATGCATTAAATGCCAAGACATATTAGAAATAAAAGAGCCAGCCGAAAATGTTGTTGTTGTTGCATATGTGTCGATTCTGCGCTTTGTCAGCAGCAAGAGTTCGCGAATGCGATTTTGGCTGTGAACGGAGCAGCTCTCCAATTGCAGACGGCCAAGCAGAAACCGATGTGAGCGGCTTATGTCTGATTGCTTAAGTTTAAGCTCTTGTTTATGGTATGTGAAATGAGCTTATTCCATAGAATTGCATATGGTACTCGATAAGCCGACAACTTTAACACACACCAACACACACACACACGCATACACCTCGCCACTTGCCACTTGCCACTTAGCTGTGGCTTCAATTGATCATCATTGACGATAGGCACAGCTGTTGGCTGCAGCTGCCATACTCTGCCTCTTCGACGTGAATTCCGCCTAAAGCAACCAAAAACAGCTGAGGTTTACACCTTCAGCTGCCTTGAACTATCGACTTTAAGCATTTGACGCGCATTTTAATTATATTGTGAGCTCTTCGCCAGTTTCTTGCATAATGCCAGCGGGGTTAGCCAGTCGCAAGGGGCACAGTCACTAGCAACGGTAGCGCCAGCAAATTGTCATAATGATTTATAAACGTGCAGTCGCAAGCACAACAAAAACAGGAAAATGTTCTCTAGCAATTGATAGACTTGAAGATATCCAGACATTTGCTAAAAACTAGCCCAGGTCGAGCATCAAGGCTAGCATGAAATTCGTAATACAGTTAAAATTCCTTTTAGTCCGAGATGTTTCTCTGATTTGATTTTGAATATTCTGATTATAGTTTGTGCCCGTTTTTAAATTGAAATCTTAATATACAAAAATGTGATATGACCAATAACTCCCTAGCTAAGCGTCTAATCGAAATTCACGCTATAATTTGTAAAGCTTAACTAGCTAAATATTAACTGCCAAGTCGGGCTTAGAGGTGCTTGTAGAGTCTTTAATAAAAAAGGCGGTTGTTTTCCAGAAAAGGCACAACTGCATAGTTTGCTGTTTAATTTCCAACAGAGCTATTTAACTTATTGTAAGAATGTACAAAGGCAACAACCGATGACATAGTTGATTATGCATAAAAAGACTTGTCAGTGATCGACTGTGAATATATTACAAATAAAAGGTAGAGTCGGTTACAACTGTAGAACAATGGTGAAATACTACTATACTGTTTACTACAACTTACAACCTTACCTTAATACTTACACTGTTCAGATGTGCTGATGTTAAGTTTCAATATGTTTGATCTAGTTAAGTGTAACATTTCATTTAACTATAACACATTTAATTCGAAAGTCTTCCTTTGACTCTATTTCGATAGACAATTTGGATTATAGGTTCTGCCGCTTTTTAAACTTGGTTTCTAAAGCAAGTTTTTGATCAAATATACTTTCCTGTATGTCAAAATTGCGGAAAATAATTGCATGAAACTATTGTGCTAAACTATTGAGATAAACCTTAAGGATCTTTGAGAGGTGTCTCACACCTCCGCAAAATCCAAGCCTCTCTGGTGGAATAAATGAATTGATATTACCTCTGTTTATATTGGCATATAAATATAACTTCTAAGCTTAGTCTCTAATTCCAATTTGAACTGACACTTGCAATCATTTTATTTTATATATGCTTATTCTCGTTCAGCATTGTAGATAAAACGGATAGTTTAAGGTGTTGACAAACCTTGTCTTGTATTCATTTTATATTGCAATTTTATATAAGCAATATGCATGGGATACTGAGTGTACACTACTTTAATGTAAATTTTGTGTTGTGCAGACACTGGTCGTAATTAACTCATCAATGGATTCTGATAAGACAGCATCTAGTGGATCGTTTTGTATAATGGTGTATATCAAAGTCGATTCCTCAAGTGTTTTATTTGAAGTCTTTGCCATCTTGATATTTATACGAATATATTTGCAAGTCTGTGCCTCTAATTTGCATGCCCTATGGTCTAGCTCTCCACACACGCACACAGACATAGACAGTTTCCTTCTCTCTTTCTTGATACATACAAAGATATATTGTATATATACATTAGTTTATATTTGCGCATTGCGTGGGCGTTTGTCTCAGGGTCAACGCACATCGCCATCTGGGAATGATTCTAAAAAATCTGTCTGTTGTCATACGCGTGCAATGAATCTATAAATGTACATATGTGGATTTAGTTGAATGGATGATCTATGTGCTACACTTAAGCGAAATGTATCTTTAAGATACATACGCCAGCGACCAGTGGCCACGCAACTTGCGCACTGGCACACTCTTACGCATGTCTTTGACCGATTCCCAATTCGATTCCTGCCGCTGATTGACAGCGCACGTAATTGAGTTTGATTTTTGCGCACTTTGAAAATATATACATCTTCGATACGATGACGACAATGGTAACGGCCAGAGGGGGTGAATGTCAAAAAGGTTTGTGTTTAGTTAGCCCAAATATTTGATTTGATTGAGCAGCTGCCAAACGAACTTCAAAACTTGAGCTCATAATAATAATAGTTTGCTTGGCCTCTATAGCTCCCATCTCTCAGCTGGTCTCTGTCCGCTCGCCGCATGGTCATTTAAGTTTTCGTAAGCTTTCCATCATTCAATCAGGATCAATATTTATTAATCAAGTATGCTAGCAAAAAAAAAAAAAAAAAAAAAAAAAAAAAAACAAATGAAGAAATACAGAAAACGAGCAAAGGCCACATCAAATTATTAAAACACTCACAGGCACCACAACCACAAAATGACTAAGAGGCCAGCGCGTGGCCGCACGGTCGGATAAACAGACGCACTGTCAGTCTGTTGGATGAAGAACCATATACGTAATACTATACACATCTAAATTTGGACTTAAGTTGCGCCCGATTGAACGAGTTGAGTTTGGGGCGATCCCGCCGCTGACCCGTGCGGAAAAATTGCATCCGTAAGATACGATCAATGCGATTGCTGTAGATCTGTTGATTGTAGATGGACCAGCTAAACAAAAGTTGATAGCTGCGCGTGCTGTCGGCATTCTAAATGATCTAAATGCGTTAATTATTAAGATAGACTGGGCCAGCTACAAATAGCTGCGAGTAACTGCGGATACATAGCGGCCAGCGGCCAGTGCCTGCATGATTCCGCCTTAGAAACTCAGATGTCTTCGTTGTCTCAAGTGCGTTTGATTATTAACATCTGCGCTCTGTTCTGCACGCTTTTAGACTATGTATACCGACCTTATGCAAGCTACCATGACTTCTTCATTCGGTTTGACAAGGCAATGTTTGAAGACATGTGCTTGGTTATAATTTGATCAGCTAAAAGACTTTTGTAATTTCCTTTTGCAGGCTTGTTCTATTTGTATTGTAAGTGTATTTCAGCTTCGGTGACTTGTTAAGAACGTTCTAAAAAAAAAAAAAACAAGTAAATAATTATTCTGCTCTTGTTATGAATGGGCGATGAATCCATACCCTGTATATCGGCTTAAAGTGATCTTTCATGGATAACATCTATATAAAGCATGCGGTCACTTTCTCTTCTGATGTTGCGTAGATGAACCAGATTAATTCTTATCCAATGACAATCTTAGCCGGAGCTATTAAGAATGTTTGTTCTAATAAACAAATGTTATAATAGGCATATGTATCATCAGACCGCACCCTTTATAGCGATCAATACAGGGTATTTGAAGATTACATTTTAGTTTTAGTGATGTTTTGTAACATTTGCTGTTTGGCTTCTGTTTTATGTTGTTTTCGTTTTTTCTTCCTGTAATTCAAATTTGACTGTTGTTAATTACACAACATGCCTTGCACGTTGTTGAGCTCCAATGCGTCTGCAATTTTAGCCCATGCTCGCTTTTGTGCTATTCATTAGCATTTGAGCATTGCCGAATTAAAATAATAATAATAATTTCGAGCATTTTTTATGACTGCAGAGCAAGAGTTTTGCGAAATGGATTTTTAATTTTCAACTATATTTTAATATGGCTAACGAGCGCTCGTCTTTTAATTGATTAATGCTGCGGCTGCTGCGTTTGATTAAAGAGAATATTTGTACATGCAAAAAGGTCAATTGCTACATATGGTAATTTCGCATAGAAGCACTGTACGAAGATCTGTTCTTAGTATTAATATGATATTGATAGAGTCAAGCTATTTTGGGCCTCTGATGAGGTCAGACTGCTACGAATGTTATAAAACTAGCTATAAGCTGACTAAAAGCAAAGAGCTGACCAATAAATTTAACATTTATGTGGTCAATAATAATGCATTGTTATTCTACAAGTTACAAATATTAAATATTATTAGCTTGAATTTCTTCGACCTTGCCCGGTTCAAGTATTTTGCTTAAGACCTTTGGCGTTCACTTTTCCGACCAGGATTGATATCCCAAAGATCTTAAAGGCTGATGGTAAATCCAAAAATGTCCTACAAATATTTTCCGAAAATTTTTCGAAGTTGCGAAAGCGTGTTTATATAGAGAGTTTTAAAAATAATTTTGAAGCTGATCGAGTGGGGCCGATCTTGCATAAAGTATGAAGCATCTCTCATGTAAGCAAAATTTGATCCAAATCGGACCACTTCATCAAATAGCTGTAATAGAAAAGATCAGTCGAAATTAAGCAGTTTTTTTTTCTACGATCAAACTTTCTGTTTGTCAAGATATTTTAACCAAGCTTCGCATTTATTGGCTTCACTATGATTCGCATGTTTGAGTAAAATCTTATCAACATCGGACTACTTACGAGATTCTCTTATCTCCTCACAACAATGTGTTTGATCTGCGGCGTGTAGAATAGATACAGTGTAAGTTGACTGGAATAGTAAAAATAAACTTTTTAATTTTACGGATAATCAGGTAAAAAGATAAATTTCACTTCAATGCCGGCTCTTAATAAGATTATCCAATATCATCTAAAGGGCATTCGTACATGTACTTTACCCAGCGTCACAGGTAAAATGTCGGCAAATGAGAAAGAAAATCAAATGAGAATTCGGAGGTTACAGAAACTGCTCAACAACAAATAAATAAGTAAAACTTATCATCACAACAGAGAGCCAATGCGTAAGCGTGTTTTTAAAAATTTCTGCCGAAGCGGCGAAACGTGCTAAGAGAGTCTTCCATACGCTCTTTAAAGCTCGCCGCTTCGTGTTTCGTAGACATGAGCCTCTCCATGTGTATTTGTTTGGCTGTATATGTATATAAGATCGTTCCACATGTTTTCGATGGCACATGTGTAAAAGCACACCTCGGCTCAGTTCGGTTTGGATCGGCTCCAAGCCGGGCAGCCAAGGGAGATGCGGTGGCCTTCTGGCATTGGCGTGTACACTGTGGCATCCGGGACACACAGGACGTAGTGAAGCATTTGCATATGCTGGCACATAAAACCATGATCCATTAAGCTCTGCCGATTAAAAGCCAAAAAAATGCCCGCACATTGATATGCTAAATGAGAGCGTCGACTCTACAGTGTATAAGTGTAAGCGTGTGTGTGCTTGTGCGCGTGCGTGCCAGTGTGTGTATATATGTGTGTGTGTGAGTGTGTGTGAAGAATTGCGGCTGCTGATAGTCGACCAAGAGTATGAGCAGAAGTAGTCGTTAGAGCGAACTCGAGCGAGCGACAACGCGCGAAACGTTTTTGAATTTTTGTTTTATGTTTTCGACTTTTTTTGACATTATTGTCGTCTTTTATTTTGCGGGCGCAGCAATTTGGCAGGCAGTGTGGCAGTCGATCATATCCCATTCCTGACCACAAGTACCTTAAATCATATAATTATAATGTTAGGCTACGCGTCGTGATAGCTTATGCTACTACTAACGGTAGTTATGATAATAAACTATGTGATAATAGCCCTGCCCGTGCGTTTGGATAAGAATGTGGCTATGGATATAAACATGGATATGCATGCGCATGCGTACCTGTGCGTCTGCATGTGAGTGTGACTGTGACTGTGTCTGTGTGCTGGTGTGCGTATGCTTGTGTGGTCAACTTTGAGTCGGACTCGGCAACCTTCTCTAGATGTTGCCAACGATGCCACAATGAGAAAAAGCTAAAAAAAAAAAAAAACAACAAATAATGAAATAAAAAGTCAAAAATTGCAGAAAGTTGTTAAAAGTAAAGTTGAATGTGCAGCATGAAAAGCAACTAAATAAATACATGAAGTGCATAAAAATCTATAAACATATACAGATACAGATATACACATGTACTGAGCTTGTATGGCCCAATGTATCTATGTGCGATGTGTATCTGTGACTCGTAAAAGAAAGAAATGCGAATTAACATTGGGCACTTCTTTGGCTCTGCTTAAGCCATAGCGCGCGAACTTTATACGTACATTGTCTGCATGTATTTATGTACATATGTATCTCATACCTGTATGCATATGTACGTCTCCCTATCAGTATTTATCTTATTGTTGCTTCTTTAGTGGCCAACTGTTGCTAACTTCTTGAAATCGTTTTATTTTACGCACTAGTACTACTACTGGCTATACGATTAGAATCAGCTGCCAGCCGACAGCCAACAGCAGTTATCTTCAAGACACAATTCTGTATATCAATGTTGGTTTATGCCTCAGCCCCAGCCTCAGTCGCGGGTGCGTGAGTGTGCGCGTGCTGTGACGGCAGCAACAGCAGCAGCAGCGGGCACGGCAACCGGCGCATTTCAATTAACAAAATAAGCAAAGCTCGCAAAATCAACATAATAGATACATAATTGGCTAACAGGCCGCAGCCCGATTGCGACCCTAAAGCTACCTTGTGCCGTAGTGCTGGCCAAAAAATTCGACCACTTTTCGCGCACATTTTTGCACGTGCTCTGTTTGGCGGGTGTTTGACAGCACAGCTCCAAAAGCTTCAACAGCTCCAACAGCTCGAAGCCCAGCAACAGGTAGCCATGTCTAATGCGGAGACACGGACGGAGCAGTCAATAGCCGCAGCAGAGGTCCAACAACTGCTACGTGAAATCGACGTGGAGAGCACCTCTATGCCAAAGACGGACGAGGCTCGCTGGCTATACGATGATCACAGATGGTTCCCAAATCGCACAAAGTCCGCTTCAAAGGCCAGCGAATTACCATTCAGGGAGCCGGAGAGCCAGCACCAACTGGAGGGCCTGAATGAATTCTTAAGAGACCCAGTCGCCGACCTCGACGACAATGTCCTGCGATACTCCTTCAAAGGCAAGCCGCCGGAGGTCTACTCATCCAAAAAGGAATTCATCTATACGCCCGCGCTGGTCGACAAACAGGTAAATACTTCAACATAGAGATTGCCATTGGCGTGCCTAGCCCTTCGTTTTTTGGATTTTTCGGTCTTTTCTTTTGGGGCTCGCTCATTTTAATTTATTGCTTCGATTTCGCATCGATTTGTCGAGTTCTTTAATTTCTTTTATAAATTCGGTTGATTTGTCGCTATTTTTTGTCTGCTTCGCTCTTTTTGTTTTTTTTTTTTTTTGTTTTCTGTTTTTTGTACATATACATACATATATATATTCTGTTTGTATTTACTTTTTGTAAATAAAGCTCAAAGAGACACAAAGAAAGCGTCGTCGCTTTGACCATCGCATTTGAATACACACGCTTCGCTGCACAGACAGTAAAAATAAAAAAATAACAACAAATAATAAAAAAAATAAAAAATGAAAAAAAAATAAAATAAAATATAATAAAAATTCAATTTCGCGCAACTAGCAAATGGACAAATTGTTTAAAATGTATGAGTATTGGATAAAAAGAGAAACCGATTTGTCAGCAGTTCCCTTGGGAACGCACCAAATCCCCATAGCTAGCAGGAAAAACCACGCTTTAAATCAAAGTTATTTTGAAAAGCATTAGAAATAAGCTTATTTAAGGGTATCAAAACAGAGTATAAGCAATACAGATATTGATCAAATGTGTTGACTAATCATGTATAGCATAATGAGCTTTTTGTTTAAGTAAATCTTGACTTTTTTTGTCTCTCCCTGATTGTCTGTTACGTCAGAAGATAGGCCTATTTATTTTCACACAAATATACACACATAAATATATATATATATATATATATATATATATATTGTAATAGTATGATTTTCTTCGTTGATTTAACTTATGTTCGGGTTGCCTTTTTATTTTTAACAACACGTCTTCTTACTGCTAGTACTGTAGAGAGACTGCCTTCCACTTCTTCTCTGCAGCCGCTTTTCTTTATCGATATTTACTTATCGTACTGTTATAATTAACATAGATAGTGACACTATAATACCCTGGCTAGGGTTACCAATGATGCTCTTATCCTATTACAACTCGGCCATCCTGACAAAGAGAGCTCCCGATCTCTGTCTTTTATATGTGTATCTATCTTTATAACTAATGCTTATTGCCTATTTTCGCATCCAATGCTTAAAGTTTTGGCTATTCCAGATACCAACGTACGGGTTGCGAGATAATTGAAAGCCTTCTACATCCTTTAACAAGTATCTATCATTTTTTAAAATCTTTTCTATACTATAAGGCCCTTTATATCTTGGTATTAACTTTTTTGAAACTCCTGGTGTGCTATCAAAATTTTTTACCATGACATAGTCACCTATTTTATATTCTACTGATACTTTCTTCTTTTTATTAATCCGCTCTTCATTTCTGATTTGAGCTTCTTTTTGATATATTTCTCCACTCTTTCTTATATTTTCTAAATTTCTTTTATCACACGTGTTCACCTGTGTAAACTCTTCTAATTTTTCTTTTAATTCATCAACAACTTTTCCTTTCTGTTGTAATCCGAATAACATTTCGCTTGGAAATTTCTTTATGCTTTTGTGTTGTGTGTTGTTTATTGCATATTCAACATTTTCTATAATAACATCCCAATGTAAACCATTTTCTGGCTCCGCCATTTTTGCCATCATCGGACCCAAGTCTCTATTCAACCTTTCCACCTGACCATTTGCTTGCGGACAACCCGTTGCTATTTTAATATGCGTTACTCCCTCATTTTTTAAAAATTCATCAAACTCTTTTGCAGTAAAACAACTCCCTCTGTCCGATACAATGAACTTAGGTCTACTATACGCTCTGAAATAATCTTTTAATGCCTTAATCGCTTCTTTCGTACTTGTTGTCTTTGCTGTATATAGTCTAACAAATTTTGAAAATCCGTCAACCACCGCCAATATATATTTATTAGCCCTTCCTGCATTAATTGGTCCATAATGGTCTATATGGATCATCTCCCACGGTTTGTTTCCTTTCGGTATGCTATGTAATAGTCCTTCACTCTTACCCGTCTTGGGGGCGAAGGCAATGCATTTTAAACAATTCCCTATATGCTTTATTGCTTTTTCCTTAATATATGGGAACCAGTAACTCTTTCCAATGGCATCGATCATCTTATCTCTCCCAGCATGTCCCAACTCATCATGATATTTGTAAAGTACATGTTCTTCCATATCCTTTGGTACATAAAAAACTAATCTGCCATCATTTGTTTTTCTGTAAATGACCCCATTTCTCATTTCGAATAGCTTGTGCTCTTCTTTTTCTAACATCTTTCTAATATCTACCAGTTTGTCATCTTTGCTTTGGCAAATAACTAAATTGTCCTCAAAACTATTGGATTCAATAACTAAAATGTCCTCATAACATCTGCTTAACGCATCCACATGTTGCATTTGCTTGCCCGATCTATGCACTAACTCAAAATCGTAATTTTGTAGTTCTAACGCCCATCTAGCAATTCTCGGATTTAAATCTATTTTGTTAAGCGTTAAAGTTAAAGAGTTGCAATCTGTCATTATTTTAAATCGTTTTCCCTGCAGATATATACGAAATCTGCGTAATGCGTAAATGATGGCTAGCGTTTCTAACTCAAAACTATGATATTTAGACTCTACTTCGGTTGTTCTTTTAGAAAAATAAAAAATCGGGTGTAATTTCCTATCTTCTTTTTTTTGAAATAAAACAGCCCCAAATCCCACTGCGCTGGCATCACAATGTAGTTCTATTTCTTCTTTGTAATTATATATTGATAGTACTGGCGCCTCTAACAATTTATCTTTTAACATATTAAAACACTTAAACTCCTCTTCTCCAAACTTGAATTTCTTATCTTTTTTCAATAAATCATATAAGGGTTTAGCTAATATAGAAAAGTTTAAAATGAACCTCCTGAAGTAGGAGCATAACCCTAGGAAACTTTGTACTCCCTGAATTTTGTTTGGTATTGGAAAGGATTTAACCGCTTCTAACCCTTTTTCATCAGCCCTAACGCCTTTACTATCCACCACAAATCCTAAATATTTAACGCTGCTTTTAAAAAATTCACACTTATCTAATTTCAACTCTAATTTGTTTTGCACCAGTCTTATAAACACTTCCTTTAAGGTCTCCATGTGTTCCTTTATGTTTGTACTTGCTATCATAATATCATCCATGTAAACAATTACCTTATTATCTTTTATCATATCACAAAATATGTTATTAACAAATCTTTGAAATACATGTGGCGCAGTTTTTAAACCCATGGGCATCCTAAGAAATTCATATTGTCCTAAAGGGGTAACAAATGAAGTGTATTTAATAGATTGCTCATTAACAAAAACATGAAAATACCCGTTTTTTAGATCCAACTTTGAAAATACTGTTTTTCCGCATAGTCTGTCTAATAAATCGTCGATCAATGGTAGCGGGTAGTTGTCTCTACATATAATTTTGTTCAGTCTTCTAAAATCAATACATAACCTCATGTCTCCAGTTTTTTTCTTCACTAGTACTATAGGTGATGCATACTCTGAACAACTTGGCCTAATGATTCCATCTTTTAAATAGTCGTCTAATAATTCTTGCAACTTTTCTTTTTCCATATAAGATAACCGCCTAGGTGTACAATTAAATACTTTGTCGTTTTCTAATCTTATGCTTAACTCATGTCTTAATTTTGGCTGATTTGGCCTTTTCGCTTTTACATAAGTATTTTCAAATAAATTTTCAAATTCACACTTTGTGCTGTAATCAATATCTTCACTTAAAATATATATATTTTCTCTTTTGTTAGAATCTTCCCAACTTATTGTTAAGATATCCTTCTCAAAATTCTCTTCTAACACTCCCATGATTTCGCTATTCACTGGCGCTTCATTAACATGATTATTAATTTTAACTGCACTGTTTCCTATATCTTCTATAATCACTTTTTCAATCCCGGTTTGATTATAGATAATTTCATCGCTAACAACTTCTTCACTATCAGGTTCGAGCTTAAGCTCTCCATAACTAACTATCTCATCACTAACAGTTTCGATCCCAATCACTTCATTTCTAACTATTTCACCACTAATTATTTTATTTCTAACTATCTCATCACTACCAACTTTATCACCAAGCGTTTCCGGACTAACAATTTTCTCACTAACTAATTCATCACTACCAGTTTCATTACTGACTATTTCCTTATTAACGATTTTATCATTTAACAATATAGTTTCATTTTGCTCGTGTTTGATATCTTCATCGTCCACTTTTTTTTGTTTTTCTTTGTAGCTTGTAGCTATGATATCATTTTTACCATTATTCTGGTGATCAACTTTATGCCCGTTCACAATTTTTAATGTTCTTAAATCAATATTTAAACCAAAAGAATCCATAAAATCTCTACCAAGCACAGCGTCATACCTCATAGACTCATTTGCCACAATTATAACATTAAAATAAACATTTATTAACTTTTTCTTCATAAAACATAAAATTTTTCCAAAATTTTTCAATTTACTTTCATTTAAACCTACATACGAATTTGCATCTGGCATGCGCTTTACTTTTAATGGCACAAACTTTTCCTTTAAAAATGAAATAGGGCTGCCAGAGTCTATAAGGCATTCTGCAATTATTGATTTGTTAAATGAGTTACTAAAATGAATTCTTAAGTATCTTACATATTTGTTTTCCATATCATACTTTTTATTTGGACATCCTGCTATTAAATGATCCTTTGAGCCGCACGCATAGCAAGATCCTGCCTCCCGTTTGGGCTTTAAACAATCTTTGGCCCAATGGCCCTTAACATTGCAATTGTAGCAACGTTGTTGTTTGTCCGCCTGTGCTTCCTGTGCAGTTTGTTTCACTACATGGTTTCGTACCCGTTTAATTGGCAACTTTATAGCTGCAAACGCACGTAAAATTTGAGCCGGATTGGTAAAGCAATGCATACTAGCTTGAGTGCGCAAGTTTTCGCAAGGTATGCCTCGAATAATACCCTCCATTAACTCCTCTACAT